GGGCTTATACAAAATCCAGTCATTCTGTATCTGCCCCTTCCCTCCTTTGTTTCATCCCCCAGAGGCATTCTGGACTAATGGTTAGGATGGCCATGACTGCTACCTTTCTATCTGTGTAGGTTTTTCTTAGAGTCCTTGACTCCTACTCACTCCAGTCTATATTGGTGTTCTCTTGACACTGTCCACCTCTCTTCCCAGGCATTGCCTTGTTCTCTTCAGGCATTGGATGCTATGATTTCTAGCTTTAATAACCTTTCTTGATTTATTTCCTCACTTTGGTGAGGGACATAGCTCACAGCAGGAGCATATTCTAATGACATTAAATGTTGGCAAGAATTTGAGGGGTCCCTGAACTCTGATGGTCAGAACATAGATGAGTACCATCATTTTAGAACACAATATTCTGTGAAATTCAGAATATACATATCCTGTCTAGTAATCTCACGTCAGAGAAATCTCCCACAGCTAGAAGCTGGTAGCAATTTTCTCTCCCCTCAGATTCTAAGATATATGCTGTCTGTCTGTGTGTGTGAAATTTTAATTAATTAAAATAAGTAATGCAATGCATGGTTTAAGAGCAGAAAGTCTCTATCCACATTTCTCAAAAGTTAACTATTATTTTTAGGCTTTTCTGTATTTTTTAATATTTTAAAAGTTTTAAATAGATTTTAAATGTAATAAAAGCAAAGTAAATATGTATTTTTTCTGTTCCTCTTTACACAAATATTCACATATTATACCTGCTGTTCTACATCTACCTCACATCATGGATACCAGTTCCTGTCAGGATATAGAGCATCCCCATTATAGCTGCACAGTGTCTATGGTAGGGCTATGCAGTGATTGATTTAACCAGTTTCCTATTCATAGACACTTGCTTTGGGGCATAGTAACAACTCCTATTTCATAGAGTTTGTTAGGCTGGAGCTTGGCACTCATGATGGAATATTTGAGTTTAGGGGTGAAATGGAGCTTCCAGCTGAGTCACACGTTGGCTGTCACTCTTGACTGAGTTATGTGACCTCTGCACTTGATAATCAATGGGCACATCAGCAGAAGGTTAGAGATGGGGGAAGTCATTGTTTGGGGTGCTGTGGGTGGGGTGCCCTTCCCTCAAGAACCTCATATGAGGCCCACAACATGGTGGGGCACAACAACCTGAGACCTGATGCCTGCCTCAGAGACCTGAGGGACAAAGGGCCGCATTGGTGCTGTTTGTTCTTGAAAAAATCTGTGGTGTCTCAGGGACAACTTTGGTCACATCTTTGAGAATTGCCCTGGGGTATCTGGGGTCCTGTCCTGGATGGCTGGCAAACTCCCATCTCTCGACCTGCCAGGATCAGTGCAACGCAATGAAACTACAAGCACACGCTGCTTGGAGTGAGGGGGAGCTTTGCGAGGGAGCAAATGCTCCAGATCTTTGGACACAGTCCTATTTATTTGCAGATTGGTACCCCAGGTTACAAGTGGATTTATGTAAATTATTTCCTTGAGATGGCATTTCTGCAAACCATACACCCTAGCTTGGTATCTTGCTTTTTATGGGAAGAGACTTTAAAGCCAAAAGATAACAAACCCTTATTTACCATTAAATAAAGCACTCAATACACCTGGGCGGGCAAGGTTTCCGAGAATGTATTAACACAAGGTTGAGAGTGCATTAACAAAAGGTTACAAAATGTCCTTCTTCCAACCCCACAACCCCACACCAAACAGAATGGACAGGCTTTCATTCATATCAGAGGCCTGGATATGACTGGATTCCTGGGATAAATCACTGGTCACAACGAGATGCCCTCCAAGGGAACTGCAATGCATGAGAGATGGTGGGATGATGAGGGGTTCTCCAAGGATTTCACAATGTGGGGCAGGGGTATCAGAGGATCCCAAGATCATCCATGTGAGTATGAATTGATTCTGAATCCTCTGTGGCAAACCCCAGTCAGGGAGGTCTACCCCCACTGTTCCCTTCCTGGAGGGCTCAGAAAAAAGTGCCAGGCAGTAAAGGAGAGACCACAGCCACAACTCTTTTCTGGCTTTCTGGGTATAGTGGGACTGCTGGCTATCCTGGATCCCTGAGGTCTAAGCACCTGCTGTGTGGCTGAGCTAGCAGCTTCAAACAAAGGATGCATGTTGGGGTTGTGTCACCTGGCTCTGAGTTGAACCTCAGAAGTATGAATCTTGGGCATCACATGTGCTGTTGACACTTGCCCCCAAAACACAGGCCCTGCCCATTGGAGCCCCTGTGAGCTATCTGACCAGGATGGCAGAAGGACAAAGGGGTCTCTGCAGAGAAAGACCGTGAGTCCTGGATGTGGCTAAGGAGCCATCTGTGTGGCTATGAGCAGGGTGCCATCCCTCTCTGGGCTCTGTGGCTGCACCCAGAGAAAGGGCATCATCATCTCCACCTGGGGGGCTGCTGGGCGAGTCCTCTGAGGGAAGACCCTCCTCTTGGATGCACTGGGGCCTGGCACCTAGTGGCTGATCAGAGAGTGAAGAGCAGGCTCAGGGGCCTCCTGCAATCAGCTTGAGTCCCCTTGGCCTTGTATCCTCTGCAGGGTTGGTCATAAACTACCTTCTTCTCTCCTGTTCTGCATCCTCCCCAAACTGGGGGTGAGCCCAGACTCCACCTCACCATCCTCCCCTAACCCCATTCTGTGCTGGGCCATGGAGGGGCTGGCAGGCTGGAGGGAGCAGGTATGGAGGAGGGGGCTACATATCAGAAATCCTTCCCCAGACGCAGGGGCTCTAACTAGAGTAACAAGGTGGGGAGCAACATGCTAGGCAGTGGAAACAGCACGTGTCAGGCCACAGAAGCAGGAAACAGGAACTTGTGTTTCCTTTGCATTGGGGCTGCAGGCCTGAGGGCAGCAGTGCCAGCTATACCCTCTATTAACACTAACAAGCTTGACTGGCCTCTCTGGAGTTTCAGCTATGGGTGGGTCCTGCACTTCTCTCTCCAGCATGCTTTCCTCAAGCTTCTCACAGCTGGGAGGAATCTGCTGCAATTTCCCGCAGAACATGGAGATGACTGAGCTGGACCTTGGTTGCTGGGGGCATGGCTGTGGGAAGCACCTGGGAGCTGGCCTTGGAGAGAGAGAGCTGGGATCCTGGGCCTGGGTGAGGGACTTTGTGAGGCAGAGGAGGGCACTATGGTCACCTGCCCCCGGGCCTCTCAGTCTCACTTGTTGTCCCTGAAGCTTAGCGTTCTGGGGTTTCCTCACTGGCCCCTGCAATGAGTTACTCAGGAATAAGAAGATGGGGCCAGGTGACTGGCAAGGCCTCAGTACTTGGTGTGGACAGGGAGGCTCCTTCAGAATGTCCTGTCTCCCTGTGGCTGGGGTAGGAGACAGCCTCCTCTGGTGGGAACTGGGACCTGGGCAGGCCTCCCAGAGCTCCAAGGACATCAGCCCTAGAGCTTCCATAATTTATTTCCAAGGCCACTAACTCCTTCTGTGCCACTTGTCCCCTGCTTCTGATGGCAGTGCTCAGTGTGACCAGGAGGCAGGGATAGTCCTAGCTGATGTCTGCAAGGGTCCTGTCTGATGTTGACCCAGGATATGCCAGGCACTGAGAGAGCATGTTGGGTATGGATGAGAAGAGGAGGAGGTGCTTTTAGTGAGCTCCAGGAATGTCCAGGACTTCTTGGGTTTGGCCCAGGAGCCCAACCCAAGCCCCTGTCAGAAGCTGGATGAGGCAGGGTGGGAGCCTGGGCTCAGCTGAAGTCCAGTCCCTGCTGTGCCACATTTCTCACATGACTCAACCTCTCTGGGGTCTCAGATAGAAAGGGGTGGGCTGGTTGGGGCACAGTGTAGGTCTTGCTCAACCCTTACACGCAGCATTCCCTACTTCTGTCAGACTGCTGGACCCTTCTGGAATCTTTCAGAAGTCCTGGGTTCACCAGGCTGCCTGGATAGCTGATGTGGCCTGACATGGGCAGGAGCCAGCCAGGTTGTGTCAGTGCACCCTCAACACACCCCTCTGCCCAGCAGGTCCTGACCAGGAATGGGGATGCACATCACACTCCCTGACTTCCTGGCTGGGGGACCTGGTCACATGCCAGGTGAGGACTTAGCAGCTCCACAGCCTATCTGCTTCCTGGCACAAGAACTTGGCTCAGTGTGTAAGGGGCTGAGTTGGGGCCCCACAGGAGGAGTCTCATAATGGGCTAAGGGTCTCTCTCCTGTTCATAACTCCCTCTTCTGCCCACACCTCCAAAAAGACAGGTATCTGGTCATTCACAGGGCTGTCAGACTCTGTTCACTGAAGGTTTACCATGCACTTACTACACACCAGGACCTGTCAACATGATCTAGGGTCTATGGAGTGGAAATGGCTATCACATCCCCCACCTTACTCAAGGCCACACCATTCCCAGGCCTGAATTCTGGCAGAAGCCTGTGGCAAGAGACTCGATGTGGGCATGGATATGCATGGTGTAAAAATGTGTTTATACCAACTCTGTTGTTTACCATATATTGTACACATTGTCAACTCCATGACTCAAATTTGTCCTGCTGACTGGTGTTCCAGCTATCAATAGAAAACTATCCCTTGATACCAGAAAGATCCAGAAAAGTGGTGCATGGAGCTTCAGAAACCAGCCCATCTCAAAGGTCAGGGTAAGGGCCATCTGTAGAATGGCAGGGGCCACTGGTGGGCTTTGGCCCCTCTCACAGCACTGTAATGCCTGCTGGAGATGTGAAGGCTCCCAGGACCTGGTGGCAGACTGGGTGTAAGCCTCTGTAACTTGAGACACCTAGTAAGAGTGGGTTCTATTAGAGAATGTACAGACCACACAGTAATGTGATCACCACCATCCTGAAGGCAGTGCCTCTGAGGCATGTGCCACCCATATGTCTAGAGGTCCTGGGCACATCCAGGGCTGAGGTTCCACAAAAGGAGGAGAAAAGTCTCCTGAGCCTTGTGGTCACTGTGGTAGGCACCAGACCATGGGGTCACCATTTGCAAAGTAGGCTTCCCCTGACTGCTGGGCCAGCCTAGGCAGGACTGCAGAGGGCTTCTTCAGACTTTCTCTCCTCCTCCTCCTCCTCCAGCTCCCCGATCCTCATGTCTTCCCCAAAATGAAAGACCTGTAGATTTAAACAGGCCCAGACCTTGGTTATACTTCCCTCCAGCACATTATCTTCTCAACAGGTGGCCTCCCACCCCAGAAGGGCATCATTTAATGTTTTTGGCTCAGGCCCACCACTGTGTATCATCTCCGTCCTCCACTCAGCTATATTAACAGGCTGAACAAACCTGAGGTGATACGTGTTTCACTTTCTAGCATAAGGATGTGGACTAGAGGTTCCAAGGCCAGGGACATACATCTTGATTGCCCACAGGGTCAGCCACCAGCCATGGGGGGTTGTGGTCCCAGCCTCCTCTTCTATCCAGTATTTGAGTTCCACCCCTAACCCAAGATACTGGCCTGACCTGTCCTCTCCTCATGGCCTGGGGGCAGGGAGGGTGTGGTTCCCAGGAGGCTAATGAGCTAGGTACTGATGAAGCCCCTCAGCTCTGTCCTGGCCCTAAGCTCCCCACCCCCTCTTCTCACCTGCATCCTGTCTTGGTGTACAGATTCTCCTTAGAGATTTACACCTCACCCCCACCTCATCTTGGCACACAGACTCACCTTAGAGATTTTCATCTCTCTTTTTCTGTGTGGTTTTCTGGACTCTCAGAAGCCAAATAAAGACCTAGTCAGAAAATGAAGTGAAATTATACAATTATGGTTGATAATAACCTGTTGTACACCCAGAGTCTGACCTACTATTTGTTTTAAAATTAAACTTGCAGTTGGGAGATAATTATAGATTCACATATAGTTGTAAGAAACAATACAGAGATATCTGTGTACCCTTTACCAAGTTTCTCCAAATGGCAATCACTTGCAAAATTATAGGACAGAATGACCACTGAGATATTGATGCTGTTACATTCAAGATGCTGAACATATATCACCACAAGGACCCCTCATGTTACCTTTTATAGCTACACCCACTTTTCTCCCATTTCCACTCCCTTTAAAACCCTTGGCAACCACTAATCTGTTCTCCATGTTTAAATTTTATCATTTCAAGAATGTGATATCAATGGAATCAGATAGTATGTAGCCTTTTGGGACTGGCTCTTTTCACTCAGTAGAATTCTCTGGAGATTTGTCCATGATGCAATACTTTACTTCTTGGTGCTGAATAGTATTCCATAGTGTGGATGTACTAACCACTGTGTAACCATTATCCCACAGAAGGGCAATTGGGTTGTTTCCAATGTTTGGCTATAACAAATTAAGCTGCTATAAACATTGATGTGTGGGTGTTTGTGTGAACATGAGTATTTATTTCTCTGGAATAAATGTCTAAGAGTGAAATTGCTAAGTCATCTTTAGTTACATATTCAGAAACCCTTTGTTTAGTTCTATATCTTAAAGATTTTCTCTGTTTTTTTTTTTTTTTTTTTTTCATAGTTTCACATTTGAGTCTGTGATTCTTTTGAGTTAATTTTTGTGTAAAGTGTAAGACTTAGGTCAAGGTTCCCTTTTGGGCCTGTGGATGTCCAAATGCCCCAGCATCATTTGTTGAAAAGGCTACCTTTCCTGCACTGAATTGTTTTTGCACCTTTGTCAAAAATCACTGGGCATGTTTGTGTGGGTCTGTTTCTGGGTTCCCTATTGTGTCTCATTGATCTATGTGTCTGTACTGCTAATACCACACTGTCTCTATTACTGTGGCTATATAATATTGGCCTTAATATAGAGTAGAGTGATTTCTTCCATTTTATTTTTTTCCCCAAAATTATTTCAGCTATTCTAGTTCCTTTGTTTTTCCATAAAAATTTTAGAATAAACTTGTTTATATCTACAGAAAAAATCTTGCTGTGATTTTAGTAGGAAATACATTAAACCTACTTTGAGTCATTCAATTCATGAACATCATGGTTCTCTATTTATTTAGATCTTCTCTGATTTCTCTCACCAGAATTGTGTAGTTTTTAGAATACAAATCTTACACATCTTCTGTTAGATTTACACCTATTTCATTTTTTGGAGTAATTATAAATGTTATTGCATTTTTAATTTTGGTGTCTTCATATTCATTGCCAGCACATAGAAATAAAGTAGATTCTTAAAGTTTTATCTTGTATTCTGCAACTTTTGCTGAACTCACTTAGTTATAGTTTTTGTAGATTCTTTGGAATTTTTTATATCTGCAAATAGGGCCAGTGTTAATTTTTCTTCTCTGAGCTGTCCTTTTTTAATCCTCACCCAAAGATATTTTTCCATTTATCTTCAGATAGAAAGGATGGGAGGAAGGGAGAGGGAGGGAAGGGCAGGGGGGGGGGATTGATGTGCGAGAGACATATCGTTTGGTTGCCTCCCGCACAACCTGGACCAGAGCCGGGGACCCAACGCAACTGAGGTAGGTGCCTTTGACCAGAATCAAACTGGCAACTCTTTGGTCCATGGCTGGTTACTCTAACCACTGAGCCAAGCCGGTCGGGGTTCTTTTAAAATTTTTATTGAATTTATTGGGGTGATATTGGTTAATAAAATTATATAATACATCATCTGTATATTGTATTGTGTGCTTATCACCCCAAGTCAAGTCTCCTTCCATCATCATTTATCCCTGCTTTGACCTCTTCTACCTGCCCCACCTCCTTTCCCTTTGCTAATCACTGTACTCTTGTCTGTATTTCCTTTTCTTGACTTATTGCACAGACTAGATCTCCCATTATTATGTTGAATAATAGTGGTGAGAGTAGATATCCTTGCCTGTTACAGATCTTAGTGAGAAGCATTCAGTCCTTCACAATTAAATACAATGTTAGCTGAAGGGGTTTGGTAGATGTAATTTATCAAGGTGAGCAATTCCCTTCCACTCTTATTTTTATGAGAGTTTTGTCCAGGCATAGGTATTAAAATTTTTGAAATGCTTTTTCTGCATCGATTGATATAATCAAATGATTTGCTCCTTTAGCCTGTTACTATGGTGGATTACATTGATTTTCTTTTTTATTTCCAAACATTAAACAGCCTTGCATCTCTGGAATAAACCTACTTGGTCATGATTATAATTATTTTTATATTTTGCCAAGGAATTTTTGCATCTGTATTCATGAGGGATATTGGTCTTTATTATTATTTTTTATACTGTGTTTATCTTGTTTTGGTATCAGGGTAGAACTGGATTTATAAAATGAATTGGGAAGTTCCCTTTTCTTTTTTTTTTAAAAGAGATTGTACAGAATTGGTATTCTTCTTTAAATGTTTAATAGAATTCTCTAGTGAACCATGTGGGCTTAGTGATTTCACTTTTGGATGGTTTGGAATTATAAATTCAATTTCCTCAGTAGTTATAGGACTATTCAAATGATGTATTTTATGTTGAGTTGTGGTAGTTTGTGTTTTTTAGGGACTTGATCCATTTCATCTAACCAGTCAAATATATGTGTATAGAGTTGTTCACAGTATTTCCTTATTATCCCCCCTTTTTGTTATTCAAATAGAGTGGGAGGGTGAGAGAGGAAGAGAGAGAGAGAGAGAAACATCGAAGTGAAAGGGACACATCAAGTGGTCGCCACCTGGATGACCCACCCAGGGCCAAGGACAAACTGCAACCAAGGTATGCGCCCCTAGTGGGAACTGAACCTGGTTCTCTGTGGACCGCAGGCCGATGCTCTAACTGCTGAGCCAAACTGGCCAGGGCCCTTATTATCATTTTGATGTTGGCAGAGTCTATAGTGGTATCCCAATTCATTCTTCATATTAGTTACTTCTGTCTTCTCTCTCTTTTTCTTTGTCAAGAGGTTCTTTGCTAGAGGATGGCAATTTTACCATCCTTTTCAAAGAATCATCTCTTTGTTTCATTGACTTTCTTTATTACTATTCTATTTTCCATTTAATTGATTTCTGCTCTCCTATGGTCTCATTTCCTTCCTTCTGCTGGCTTTGGGTTTATTTTACTCCTCTTTTTCTAGTTGCTGGAGATGAGAACTTGGATGATTGATTTGAGACTTTTCCCTTTTTTTCTATATATATTCAGTGCTGTAAAATTCCCTCTCAGTCCTGCTTTAGCTGTGTCCACAAATTTGATTGTATCTTCATTTAGTTCAATTATTCTTTATTTCCCTGGAAACTTCTTTTTTAATGCATAGATTATTTAGAAGTGTGTTGTTTAGATTCTAAGTGTTTGGAGATTTTTCTCCAAACACTTAGAATCTAAGTGCAAATAAGATTTGCAATTTATTTTACATTATGGATTTCTAGTTTTATTCCATTGTGATCAGAGAACAAACTCTGTATAATTTCAATTATTTTAATTTGTTGCAGTTTGTTTTATGTACTCAGAATATGGTGTATTTTGGTGTATATCCTGTGGGCAACTGAAAAAAATATGTACTCTGTAAATGTGTAGTTGTATAGAGTATTCTATAAATGTTGATTATGCTATTTGATGTTATTGGTAAGTTCTTCTGTATCTTTGCTGATTTTCTAATTGTTTTGTCAATTGTTGAGAGAGGGGCACTGAAGTCTCCAACTATAACTGTGGATCTGTTTATATCTTTTTCAGTTCTATCCATTTTTGTTTCATAAATTTTGCAACTCTGTCGTTTGGTGAATACACATTTAGGATTGCCACGTCTTTTTGGAAGATTGACATTATTATTATTATTATATAAAGTCCCTCTTTGTCTCTGGAAATTTTCTTTTCTCTGAAGTGTACTTTATCTGATATTAATATTGCTATTTCTACTTTCATTTGATTACTAATTCTCCATTTTTAACTTTCCTTTTTTCTTAATCCCCACCTAAGATAGAAGAAGGGAGAGAAAGGGAAACATTGATGTGAGGGAGAAACATTGATCAGTTGCCTCCTGTAGGTGCCCCAACTAGGGATCGAACCCACAACCTAGGTATGTGCCCTGACCAAGAAACAAACCTGCAACATTTTGGTGTATGGGACAATGCTACAGCCAACTGGACCACCTAGTCAGGGCCCCATTTTTAACTTTATAACTTGTCTGTATTATTATATTTGAAATGAACTGCTTATAGGCAGCATTTAGTTGGGTCATGCTTTTAAAAAAATGTATTTTATTTTAGAGAGGGAGGAAGGGGGGAGGAGGAGGAGGAGAAGGGGAGAGAGAGAGAGAGAGAGAATGAGAATTGGATTGGTTGCCTCACATATGCGCCTGACAGGGTATCAGACTTGCAACTTAGGTGTGTGCCCTGACTGGTAATCCAACCATTTTTAAGGGAGCCTCAAGGCTGACTGGATTGCTAGGGGAGGCCTGGAGTTGAAGGCTGGGCAGGACTTTTCTTGGAGGCTTTGACTGACCTAGCTGGGGCTCAATGCATCTTAGAAACCTTCTAGTGCATGGGATGACGCTCCAACTGACTGAATCACATGGGTCAGGCAGGTCATGCTTTTTAATTTACTCTGCCAATTTCTGTCTTTTACTGGTTATATTTAGACCATTTAATTTAGTATAATTATTGATGTGTTAAAGCTTGAGTCTGCTATTTTATTTAATTAATTAACTCATTTATTGTTCTCTCTGTGTTTTGTTTCTGTTTTATTTTTTTCTCTTCCTGTTGGTTACCTGAATAGTTTTTCTTAAATTCCAAAATATCCTGAAGGATATTTTCACTAGATATAAAATTCTGGGTTTATAGGTATTTTCTTTTAGCAGTTGAAAAATGTGCCATTGCCTCTGGCCACCATGGTTTCTGATGAGGAATCTGACTTTGGATTGTTTTCCCCTTATAGGTAAAGTGTCATGTCTCTCTCAATGTTTTAAGATTTGTTTCTTTGTCCTAAGTTTCCAGAAGTTTGACTACAATGTGTTTTGGTATGAGTTTCTTTGGCTTTATGCTCTTTGGAATTTACTCAGCTTCTTGAATCTGTAGATTTATGTCTTTTCCAAATCTGGGAAGTTTTTAGCCATTACTTCTTCAAGTACTTTTCAATTGGATCCTCTTGTCCCCTCATTCCCAGACTCTGATAATATGTGTTAGATCTTTTGTTATAGTGCCATAGTTCCCTGAGGCTCTGTTGTTCAGAGTGTATAATTTCCAGTGTTTTATCTTCTAGCTCACTGATTCTTTCCTCTGTACTCTCTATTCTGCAGTTGAACCCATACATTCAGTTATTGTATTTTTCAGTTCTAAAATTTTTATTTGGCTCTTCCTTACATCTTCTGTTTCTTTGGTGAGACTTTCTATATTTTCATTTTTAAGGGAGCCTCAAGGCTGACTGGATTGCTAGGGGAGGCCTGGAGTTGAAGGCTGGGCAGGACTTTTCTCGGAGGCTTTGACTGTCCTAGTTGGGGCTCAATGCATCTTAGGATCCTTCTTTTGCTTTTCTCTACTTTTTGGGGTAGAGGAGGAAAGAAGGAAGAGAGGGTCAAATGGAAGGTGCTTCTCTCTAAAGGTGCTTTAGAAGCGCTAGGCTTTTATCTGTATGTTCATGGCTAAATAATTATCTGGCACACAGCAGTCCTTCTAGTTAAATACTGTTGACTGAAGGAGTGAATGAAATGCCCCTCCGTCATTCTACTCCCTGCTCTTAGACTTCCTATGCCCCTCTCCTAATGTACTTTTGACACATTTTATTGCCTAGCTTCTATTGGCTAATGATAATAATCACCATAATAACTAGTGTTGGAGGTTGAATAATGGCTCCAAGAGAGATTTAGATCCTAATCCCCAGGACCTGTGAATAAGTTACCTTCTACAGCAAAAAAGGACTTTGCAAGTATGATTAAGTTAAGAATCTGGAGATGAAAAGATAATCCTGGATTATCCAGGTGGGTCCTAAAGGCCATCACAAGTGTACTTCTAAGAGGGAGAGGGAGAGTTGACCATAGGAGAGAGATGACGTGATGGTGGAAGCAGAGGTCAGAGTGATGTGCTTTGAAGGTGGAGGAAGGGGCCATGAACCCAGGAATACAGGCAGCACTAGAAGTTGTAGAAGGCCATGAAATGATTTTCTACTCAGAGCCTCCAGAAATAACCAGCTCTGTCAGCACCTTGATTTTAGCCCAGTGGAACTGATTTTGAACTTCTGACCTCCATAACTGTAAGAGGATCAATTTGTGTTGTTTTGAGTCACCAAATTTGTGGTGATTTGTCTCAGCACCAATAGGAAACTAATATAACTAGTGTTGATTGAGTGTAGTCCTATGGGCTTTGCTGTGACAACTCAAGTAAATCTCACTGTGGCCCTGGGAAGTAGGTTCTCTCATCACCCCACTTTCTAGATGTAGCAGAGGAGGCTCAAAGAAGGTGAAGAACCTGCCCAGGGTCACACAGCTTGCTGGGGTGGGAGCAGCCTAGGCTGGTTTACCCATCAGGCTGTTTAGTTTGTTGCTTGAAAGGACTAAAAAAAAATTACTGGTTCCAAAATGTAAAAAATAAAATGACAAAGTTGAAAGCATTAACAATTAAAAAGTAAAATCATTACAAAATTCCTTCTCTCTGATTTTTGTTATTGACAAAACATATTCTCTGTGCATGAGTGTGGTTCTTTTACAAAATGCTTTCTGTGACAAGAAACCAGGTCCCCTTTGTGCTGAGTGGGAGACTCCCAGGTTGGTTCAAGGGTCCTGGATCCAGAGAACATCTAACTGTGGGGCCACACTGCTTCACAGGGAAGATCAACTCAGGCTCAGATGACCACTTGCAAAAGCACTTTCTCTTCCTGGAGGAGAGGGTTCCTGGAGTTCCTTCACTTAGCAAATTCATGAATAAATCAGTTGTATTTGACAAAAGACCAGGTATGAATGTTGATTTTTGTGGAAGGGACAGACATTTATAGTACTCTGGAGAAAAGATGTCTCATTTGGTGCTGGTGTGTATTACATACACATGCACACACTCACACATGTACAAACACACAGGTACACACTCACACTAGCTGAAATCCTAATGTAAGCCCTGGGAGGGTGGTTCTTATCATCACTCCTACTTTTCTGAAGAGGAAGGGTCAAACAGAAGGTGGTCCAGATTTGCAATGCCCAATTGCTTCCAAACCATCTTCAGGGGAAAATTTGGGCTTGGGGGATCCAACCTGCAGCTCCTCAACTCTGGGGGTAGCAGGCAGGGAGAGGCAGCCTTCCCTGCTCCCTCCAGAGCCAGAAAACATGGGCATGGTGTGTTTTGCTCAAAGCAGGGGCCCTGAATGGCAACGTGACTAAAAGGCCACGTAAGAGTACCATGACCCAGGACTCAGTGAGGCCAGGGGCCACCTTACCATCCTTGCTGAAGATGGGGGCAGTGTTAGGTAGTGGGTGATGTTGCAGTCTTGTTCCAAGGGACACTCCAGAAATTTCTGCCAGGGTCATAGTGACATAAGATGGTTGCACTCCAGTCCCAGGGCTTCGATGTCACCTGTGAGAGTGGGGCTGGCCCTGGCTAGGCTTCTCTTATCACCTCTAGACGAACAAGTTGGAACATGGGGCAATAAATGACATCATCACTTATCAGGAAACCTGGGTGTTCATCACATCTCTTTATTCCCTATGAGGAATCAGCTGTACCTGACACTTGGGATCCACCAGCCCCCCTGTATTATGGGGTCAGGATGAAGTGGGCTATGGCCCTCAGCAGGCAGTGACTCTAGCTAGAGGTAAACATTACTTTAGTTTTATTCTATTTACTTTTATTGTTGTCCCTACTTATGGCAAGTTGGTTTATTTAAAGACTATGCAAATAAATTTAAATAATTTATTTAAGTAAACAAGTAAATATATTGAGTTAGAATTTTTAAAGTAAAATTTAGATACATGTATTTAAATTGAAAAAAAAAAACTGTGATAACTTAAAGAAGCATTTAAATAAATAGAAGCACCAGTCATGACTGGGTGGGAGTCCCATTCTTGGTCTTCTTTGATCAGCCCTAGGCCAATTCCGCCCCCACTGTTCGCACCCTGAATCTGGGGCCATGTGAGCACCTTGCAGTCTTGCCTCTTGCCCCTTAGCCTCAGTTCTGAAGACCAATTTAAGAAAGCATACGACAGGGTTTCTATATCTGGTGTGTGTCGGGGTAGCCAGACGAGGGAGCTCCCAGGTCCCTGGACCCCTGTAGCCTCTCTCAAGCCCAGACTCTTCCATGACACCTCCAGCCTGGAGTGCCCTTGCCTGCTGGGCTGGACTTTCCCCAGCTATGCTGGCCCTCAGGGATAACCAGGCCTGCTGGGGTGTCTGTGTGAAGCTGAAGGGCCCAGGTGCCTGCTGTAGGCCCATCATCAGAAGATACTGGCAGAGCCCTTTTTGGGCCTCACAGCATGTCTTTCTGGGCCCATTGAGCTACCCGGTCGAAGTCTGGTTTTATAGACAGAGACTGAGGCTTGCCAGCCCAGGATTGATTGCCCTTGGAGTTGGAGGCTGGGTGGGGCCAACACTAGGGTGGGCTGGCCCTCTTGTGGGAGAAGAGCCCCTCTTTCCTGTGGATTGGGTGTTACCACTGCTGCATGGTGTGTTCTGTCTGTCTGACTTAGTGACTGCCTGCTGTCACAGTCCCACACCCACAGCTACTTAGAGGCAAGTGTGCTGGGTAGGCTCATCTTGCTTGCTTCCTCACTGTGCCAGGACAGAAGGTGGTCTTTGTTCATCTCCCCCACCCCGACCACTGGTGCTGTGTCCCAGGCCCATGTTGGTGCATGATGGCTAAATTGGGTTTGAATGGGGAGGAGTGCTGGGACAGGGAGGGGATTAAGGGCAGTGGGACTCTGACAGAGATGGCTTCTCAGGGGCTTGGTACAGGCTTTCTGGAGGCAGGGGAATTGCAGTTGGTCCTCGGGACAGTAGCAGTTTCCATATAGGAGCACTTCTCACCACTTTTGCCTGTGTATGTGGGTCCAGGCCCACCCTAACAGGTTCTACCTTCTTAACTGGACTTCCTGCCTTGTGGCATCACCACTGCCCTTGCATTCTGGAGCTGAGCAGTTTCATCAGAACCCAGCTCAGCCTGGAGGTCACCCAGAGAAACCTCTGTAGAGTGGACTTGTGACAGAGACAGGGGCCGGGAGTGGGGTGGGGGGAGGGAGTAAGGCAGACAGGAGCTGGCCACAGGCAGGAAGAAAGCATAAGTAATTACTGAGATCTCCTGGCCTTAAAGTTTCAGCTGCAGGCACTGGGGGACTGTGAGAGCATTTTTTCTTCCTTCCTTCCTTCCTTCCTTCCTTCCTTCCTTCCTTCCTTCCTTCCCCCTTCCTTCCTTGTATCATTCCTTCTATCTATCCATCTTTCTATCCTTCCTTCCAACCATCTATCCAACTTTCTATCCATTCATCCATTCATCCATCCATCCATCCATCCACCCACCCTCCAGCTTCCTATCCAACTATGAAACAGCTTTTGTAGGCCTAACCCATGGTCCGTATCTCTCTGGAAGTTAGAGGAGAATGCAGTGAAACTAAACACATGGCTCTGTAAGTCAGCCACTTCTAACACCAGACCTTAACATGCAGCGTCCCAGCACCCCAGAGTAGGAAGGGAGCTCTGAGTGCAGGAACAGGAAGTCTTAGTGTGTTCACGCTGCCCCAGGGCTACCTACTTCGGCACAGATGAAAGAGAAACAGTGTAGAGCACCAATGTCATGAGTGACACATCAGACCAAAGGCTGTAGCCAATGTTATACAGCACCACCCAGTCTAACTCCTGGACCATTAGACCTGTGACTGTCACATGGTGCCTGTGCCCTGGGAATCAGAGGCAGCCTGGTGGTATGCAAAGATCACAAGATTAGAGCCAGAAAGATTAAAGTCTGATTCCTGGCTCTGCTGCCTCCTCAACCCTGTGACTGGACAAGTGAGGTCTCCTTTCTGAGACACAGTCTGGGAAATGACAATGCTAAAATCCACCCCATAGAATAGTTATCAGAATTCAGTGGGGTATGGAGGTCAAGTGGCCCTCATGTGGTATGTACCCAATGAAGTGAGGTCCCTGTTCCTGCTGCCCAGTTTTCCAGCTTCCTGACTCATGAGGGACAGGTTTTTCTATCCTGGGGTTTAAGGTCTCACTTCACTGAATGCTGCTCCCACCTCCTCAGCTCTTCTGGAACCAGAGTTTATGAAGTGCTCACAGCTTGTACAGGAAGGGCCAGCTGGTTAGGAGCCTGAATATTTTGGCCTGCTCCCCAAATCTGACCACTGTAAATTTTTAGAATAGCGGCTTATTCTATTATCCCTCAAGCTGGAAACAGACCTCTGCAAAACATTCAGGGACCTAAGGTCACCAAACTTCCCACAAAAGACCAGATTGAGGTTCCTAGTCAGTCTTGGTGTTAACTGTACACAGGGATGAGCAATGGTAACCACTGGCCGGTGACAGGCTTTAAGCCAAAGGATCATTGTGATCCCATGGCCTGTGCATGGCTTTTTGTATCGGAGGATACTATGAGAATTTAGAGAAATAGAATTGGTCAGGGTCAGCAAAGGTCCCCCAAATGCAAATGGATAAGAATAGGACCTGGAAAAGGCAATTTTAGTGAGCAAGAAGCTTGGGTCAGTCATCACCAGAATATCAATGTGATTTGAGGCCATATCTATGAAGTTATTGAGCTTAGAATAAGGAGGTGTAAGACCCTATGCACTTGGCACCACAATTTGATCTGACACAGAAGGGACTTCAACAAATGGAGCTGTTCAGGTATCAAAGGACCCTGGGGCTCAGGAGGAAAGAGGGAGGGGCCTCTGAAGGATGAGTGGGTAGAAAAGGAGCAGTCTCACTCTATACGGCCTTCCAGAGAGGACAACCCCAGGTGCACAACTGAAACCCTGTAAGGAAGCATTTCCCACCAGTTAGAGCTGCTTAGGGGTAGGTTGATCTGTTTGGGAAGGTGGTGAGTTCCCCATACTGGAGGCATACAAGCAAGGAGACCTGCCTGTCTATTGCAGATGTTGTAGAAGTGCAGGGGGTTGGACCAGGTAACCTTGGAGTTAGTATCCAGGTTCTCTGATACAGGCCTCCTGGGCCATGGTGGTTTAGAGCAGTGAGGAGCCCTGAAGACCAGGCACGCCTCTGACCTACCTTTTTCCAGCTTTTGTGGGCAGTCAGGGAGTGGTGGGTGGCCCCACAGAGGGCTGTCCTGTAGTTGCAGAAATTTCCTGTTGGATCCATCTGGTGCTGGAAGGAGACATGGACCCAGCTGGGCAGATGTATCTGGGAAGGCCACCACCACCTGGCTGCCCAACAACTTTGCTTACCTCTAGGATGAAAAACTTGTCTGTCTTTACTTTGGCCCATGTCTTCTTCAGCCTGGACACAGGGCTCATGTTCATGCCAGCTGGAAGAGGGAGGGCCAAACTGGGGAGACTTGCTTCAGGCTGCACAGGCCCACTCATTCCCCCAGGCAGGAGGCCTCTGTGTGGCCCCAGCTGGCCCAGCTTCTGAGACTGTACCCTGACCAGGACTGAGGTCTGCAGCAGTCTCAGCTGTTAGACAGCAGGTAGACAATGTATTGGGGTGGGCCTGGCTTCTGCATGTGCAGGCCCCCTGTCACAGTCCCCAGCACACTGGCCCCACCTGCTGACCAGAGCCTGCTTTGGGCCCCTGCTCTCCCTGGATCTGGGGACATACTGCCAAACCCTCACCAAGCACCCTGAGGAGGCTGAGCTTGCCTCAAGATTGGCATCTTTCCTGGACCTCTGGGTAGGAGATATTGACCCAGCTGGCACTCACTCTTTGTTCAGAGGAGCACCCTGGCTTGAACCCTGCGTGCCTGGGTATCCACATTCACCTTCCTGGGTGCTAGACTTGGGGCTAGTTACTCACATGTGATGGCCATGAGGGAGCTGAAGTTGCCAATGTTGAAGCACTCAGGGGGCATGTCAATGAAGAATTTGATCACCTGGGCCCTCTGCTTCTTCTTGAACGGCTGGGGACAGGGTACCTGAGCCTCAGAAATAATGAGTCCCCATCCTACCTTGACCACACACCCTCCTCACCTGGCCAGTCCCTTTTAATGGCTGAGAAGTGTGATTTGGTCAATCTCAGCCTGAGGGCTCAGTGTCTCTGAGCATGTCCTGAGCAGTGCCAATGCAGAGCCCACTGCCAGGGAGGGCTCAGATGGGTACACAGGAGCCACCTCCAGCAAGGAAGTTCCCTTCTTCCCCCAGGCCTACCTCCAGCATCCCTTCCAGAAGCAGAAAGCATGTTCCTTCACCTTTTCTCCCCACATAAATCTGACTCTTCCCAGACAAGACCATTTGCTGACCACAACTCCTGGGCAGGCTCAGTCCAGACTTCACCCACTTTAAGCCCAGCATCAGCTGCCAGGGAAACTCCAGACCCCATGCTGTGCTCTTTCCAAACAGGTAAAGCTGGCCTGCCTCCTAGATGGGCAGCAGAGGTCTTATTGCCACCAAGTAGTGTGCTGTGATGTCTGCAGAGCTATGCTACCCAAACCCCTTCAGAGAGCCACTGCCTTTGGTCCTGTCCTGTCCTTCACAGGGCAGCATGGTAACTGTGATGGTGATTGAGTGAGATGGGGGAAGCAGGCCAACCTTTTTGGCTCAATGTGGGCCCTGGGACAGAAAACTCCCACAGGCAAAGGCGTCACAGGTTAACTTCTCCTTCTGACGAGACCGGCTTCTTCCTCTTTCTCTGTCACAGGTGTTCACCCCCATAAACACTTTGCATCCCAAGCTCTGTAACAGCATCTGATTCTGGAGAGCCCAACTTGGCACATGTACTGCCTCCAATCATTTCCTGTGAGGAGTGGCCCCTGGGCTTCACCTGATAAATGGGGAGTGTGTTCAGAGGAGGGTCCCTCTGCTGTAAGGCAGGTCTGGCTGGTGGGACTGTTTCTCAGTGACGTGCATGTCTGGTTCAGACTGGCTGGGTCTTCCTACTTCCCAGGAAAGGCCAGAGACCTGGACTTTGAATGTGTAATCTCCCAATTCTTAAAGGTTGGATCATTTCTACCTCTAAATCTTGAGTGAGCTAAACAAAATGTGGTTGCAGGCCCAGCAGCCCAAGTAGACAGGCACAGATGGAGGGAGCAGAGGCCCTTCTCACTCCTTCAGCAAACAGTCTCTGACACCTTTTGTTAGAGGCTATTGGATCCATGCTGGGCTCTACCCAGAGGGGAAATGTCACTGCAGGCAAGCCGGGTGACACCTGGTGTCCTGGAGGAATGCCTAGCCTGGCTTGGGGGTGAACAGGCTCAAGAAGCCCTTGTTGTTCCCTCCCAGGTGGGCTCATCCCAACCCCCAGCCGCCTTTGGCCACACAAGCTCATGTCCCCCATTTTTCTATGTACTATACAAATCTCAGTCGCCATGAGGTAGCACAATCTGTTGAACTATTTCACATAAGCTTCCAGGTTCTTGGTTTTATCACTGAAACAGGGCTAGGAAAGGTAAAGGGACCACGCTCAGTCTTTTTGTCAATAATTTTTGGAACATGAAGTCAGTTCATGATCATTATCAACAATTTGGAAACCTCAAAACCATCCACAAATACCAATGAATTGATGTTTATCTTCTAACCTTTTTTCTTTATACTTAGAGATGTAACAATATGGTATATTTCGATATGATATGTAATTGTCAATCCTCATTATTTACAGATTCTGTATTTGTGAATCTATGTACTCCCTAAAAATGTATTTGTCACCCTCAAAATAATACTCACATCACTTTCCCTTTCACTGATGGACATGTGCGGAGTGGCAAAAAATTTAAGTCACGCAACACATGCTGAAGTTAAGTTAAATGATATTTTGCCTTCTTGTTTCAATTCCCATACTGAAAACAAGTGTCCTTTCTGTCCGATGGCCTGGGGACTGGCACCAGGCAAAGTGCTCGACCATTGTCTCCTTGCTCAGCCTTGTCTCCCACCCTGAACGGCCTGCCTCGAGCCTATAGATTAACTCCCATCTTATCTATTCATATTCCAGAGGCTCCATGCATAACCCCCGCAGGGCCAAACCCTAAGGGACAAATTCCAGCTGCAACAGGCAGATATAAAAGACACAAGCCCCTACATTGAGCGCGGCTTCTAGGACTCGACCCCCGGAGTCTGTGAACCCGCCCGGAGTGTACCCAATAAAGCCTAATCCCTGTTTATTCGGCTGATTGGCTCTCCAGTCTCTTCTCTGTTTTATTCGGCAGCGCCCCCAATTCCTTACACTTTCTGCCATCTATTTAGTGCCATGGTGATTTTACTGCTTAGTGTGGCCCTCAAGCCCAGTGCTGCAGAGCTGTCTTGTGTTCCTAAGCATAGGAAGATTGTGGTGTGCCCTAAGGAAAAATTTCTGTGAGATGAGCTTTGTTCAGATATGAGTCATTGTGCTGTTGGCAATGAGTTCAATCTTATTGAATGAACAAATATTTATTAAATAAGGTGTCTTTAAACAGAAACACACAAAACAAGGCTATATGTTGATTGGTTGATAAAAATGTTGTGATGAGAGACTTGTAAGGAACTTAACCCTGTATTTCTCTGAGGAGTAATGGGTATTTGTTAATTCAGCGTTCATGACAAATTTATGGGACATAACTACCACGAATAATGAAAGTCGACTATATCTTTCTATTGCTACATGACTACATATATTTCCATAATTTTCTATATGAACTTTTCATGTATCATGCAATGTCCTTTGGAAATGTAATTTTTCAATTGATGTAGAACATTCCACTGTATAAATATATCACACTTTCAAAAATTAAACTTGAGTTAATTTAAATATACATGTTAAAATTGCCAGGGTGACTTTCAATAACTAGAGGGGAGGATGGAATGGGGGATCTATCCAAACAAAGTAAAGAAAGGAGGAAACGAGGAATAGAAAAGGTAAGGAAGACCACTGAAAGACAGACACAAGAGCAGAGTAAACACAAATCCATACACATCAGTAATTATAATCACTATAATTAAAACTCAGCTACTTGCTAGTTTTAAGAGACACACCCCAAACCTAAGGAGATAGGTAAAAAATAGAAAAATACATATGATAAATATCATTGCTATATTAATATTAAATAAAATAGACTTTCAGGTTAAAAAAAGACTTCAAGGCAAAAAGCTTTAGAAGAGATTAAAGGGCATTGTATAATGATAAAGGGTTCGAGTTATTAAAAAAAGTCACAAGTCTAAACTTTTTTATACTTAATAACATAGATTCAAAATAGGGAGGCAAAAATAATCAGAAAGGTAAAGTTCTATGGATATAAAAATTAAAAGGACAGAAAATTGTGAATAACTTTGTTTATAAATGTGAAAACTTAAGAGGGATGGTCAAATTCCTGGAAAAATGTAAAATACAAAAAAGAGTAAAGAAGAGACATGAAAAGGTGCTTAATATCACTAATCATTAGAGGAATGCAAATTAAAACCATGATGAGATATCACTTCACACCTGTCAGAATGGCTACTATCAGTAAATCAACAAACAACAAGTGCTGGCAAGGATGTGGAGAAAAGGGAATCCTAATAAACTGCTGGTGGGAATGCAGACTGGTGCAGCCACTATGGAAAACAGTATGGAGTTTACTAAAAAAGTTAACAATGGAACTACCTTATATGACCCAGCAATCCCACTTCTGGGAATATATTTGAAGAAACACTCCAAAATCCATAAAGAAAAAGTTTAGTACATTTCACTAGATTTAAATTAAGAACACATGCTGATCAAAGACATAATGAGAATAAAAAGCAAAGCTACCAACCAGGAGAGGAAAATTCACAGTATATCTAACTGGCAAAGGATAATTATCTAAGAAATTTTATTTATTTTTAGATAGAGTGAAAGGGAGGAAGAGAAGGAGACAGAGAAAAACATCAATGTGAGAGAGAAACATGTTGATTCGTTGCTTCCTGCATGACCCTGACTGAGACTGGGGATCAAACCTGCAACCCAGGTATGTGCCCTTGACTAGGAATCAAACCAGTGACCCTTTGGTCCTCAGGCCAATACTCTAACTACTGAGCAAACCAGCCAGGGATAACACAAAAATTGTTAAAAATCCTTAAGAAAAAGACAAATCACCAATAGAAAACTGGATGAAAGTTAGTGATAAACATTTCATAGGAGAGAAATCAAGAATGTCCAAAATCCATGACAGATGGTCCACTTAGCAATTTGAAGAAGAGGAAAAAATGGAGGCAGAGTGAATGGAAGCTACACAGATCATCTTCCAGGACCAAACAGGAATTACAACAAAACATCATTGGGAAAAACCAATGAAAAGCAGCTGGAGAGAACGCTTATAACCAGGGACAGAAAGAGGATACCAAATTGAGCCTGGTAAGAACTGTAGAGACATGAGAGGGCAGGCTGGGAGCCCACAGACAGCAGCTGAGAGCTGTTTTAGTTGTGAGCAATTAATTCCCTCTGAGAAGTTGGGGGTTAAGACCCCAAGCCAGCTCCACAGCACAGAGTGGTGGCACCACAGCACAGAATGGTGGCTTCCCAGTATGGAGTTTTAGCTCTCCAGCACAGAATGGCGGGACAGGGAAAAGAGTCCACATAACACCTGAGATCACCAGAACTGGGGCTTTGTCCAGCAAGGAGAGGTGCAGAGAAAAACGGCACCTCCCTGAAAAGCCAGAGCATTAAATCAGCTACAGCCACTCACCTTGGGCTATGGCAGAGAGAGGGATGACAGGACTGGAATGGTGTGAAGAGAGTCAGGGGTTTGTGGCATAAGGAAGAAAGCTGGGAAGAAGAATACTGGGAGTTTTATGCTAAATCACTCCCTTGTAGGACAGTAGCCATCTTACTCAAAGAGCCCCTTCCCAGAGCCCTAGGGAGAAGCAATGGCTCCTCCCTCAGGAATTTAACACCACCAAGCTAGGTCAGAGAAATGCAAATAGAGGCTCATTAACAGCTAGAGACTACCACCAGTAAGCAAGGGGGGGGGGGAAGCCATTACTCCACCAGCTGGAAATTCTCTTACCTTGTATAACTGCAAGATATTTCATTTAGCTGGGGGCCACAACCTGAGGCCCATCAAGCAACTGAGACTAATAGCCTGCAGGCAAAAGCTACAGGATAACTGAACCTTTACTTGGCCTGCAGATCTACCCAGGAAAGTAAGACTTAACAGTGGTGTTTAATGTGGGTCCTCCCACAATCATCCAAATGCAGTAGAGGGAACCACAATCAGCAGAACACCAACACCCACAGGGAAAATTTGAAGGGCTCCAAAACCCACGGAGACAGCAAAAATAGTTAAATAAAGAAACAAATCCCAAATGGAAGAAGAAAATTCTACAGAAGAAGGGATAAATGAAATGGAATTAAGCAAGTTATTAGAGGTAGAGTTTAGAGTAATGATTATGGGGAAGCTCAACAACATGAGTAAAGATATAGAAACATTAAAAATCAACCAATTGGAAATGAAACACCACCAAACAGAAATGAAGAATGACATAACAGAAAAAAAGAATACTTTGGAAGGAATAATCAGCAGAGTAGAGGAAGCTGAGGATCAGATCAGTGAATTAGATGACAGGGTAGGCAATCTCACCAGATCAGAGAACCAAAAAGAAAAAACAATTGAAAAACAGGAAGACAGCTTAAGAAAACTGTGGGACAATATGAAACATAACATCATCTGCATCATAGGAGTGCCAGAAGAAGAAAATAATGAGCAAGAGTTAGAGAATATATTTGAAGAAATAATGACAGAAAACTTCCCTAACTTGGTGAAGGAAAAGGGCATACAAGTTCAAGAAGCCCACAGAGCCTAGGTAAGAAGAACACAAAGAGGCCCACACTAAGACACATAATAATTAAAATGACAAAAATTAAAGACAAAGTGAGAATCCCAAAGGCAGCAAGAAATAAGAAACAGGTTGCCCTGGCCAGTTTGGCTCAGCAGTTAGAGAATTGACCTGTGGTCCAGAGAGACCCGGGTTCAGTTCCTGCTAAGGGCATGTAACTTGGTTGCATTTTGTCCCTGGCCCTGGTTTGCGGGTGGCAACCACTCAATGTATCCCTTTCATATCCATGTTTCTCTCTCTCTATCTCTTCCTCCCACTCTATCTGAACAAAAAATGGAAAAAATGTCCTCGGATGAGGATTAAAAAAAAAAAGAAGAAGAAGAAATAAGGAACGGTTACTTACAAAAGAACCCGCATAAGGCTATCAGATGACTTCTCAACAGAAACACTACATGCAGAAGGAATGGAATGAAGTAATCAAAATAATGAAAAATAAGGATCTGAATCCAAGTCTACTCTATTTAGCAAGACTATCATTCAAAATAGAAGGTGAAATAAAGAGCTTTTCGGACAAAAAAAAGGCTAAGGAAATATATTACCACCAAACCAGCACTGCAAGAAATCTTAAAATCACTGCTGTAATAAGCAGAAGAAATAAGAAAAACATAACCACACTAA